TTGGAGATGAGGACTCCTTGGTATTAGGAATAATGACAAGGTCAAGGATTTGAGACATAGCATTGGGTATGGAGGCCCTGAGAGGGCCCTTCAGTGGAGGAGGAAACACTGGCTGTTCACTGTAAGAATACCTAGTGCTATGGTTTGAATATTTGTTTCCCTCCAAATTTCATGTTGGAATTTAATCTCCAGTACAATAGAATTAAGAGGTGGGGTCTTTAGGAGGTGCTTAGGTCATGGGGACATTTCCCTTGTTAATAGGATTAAGCCTCTTATAAACAAGGCTTCACGCACCATCTGTCCCTTCTTTGCCCACAAACACTGCGAGGACAGTGTCCTGTCTGGAAGATGCAGCAACCAGGCACCATCTTGGAAGCAGACAGCAGTCCTCACAAGACACCAAACCTGCCAGCACCTTGATCTTGGACTTCCAAGCCTCCAAAACTGTGAGAAGTTAAATTTCTGTTCTTTGTAAATTACCCAGTCTCAGGGGTTCTGTTATAGCAGCACGAATGGACTAAGGCATCTAGGGACTTGCATTTTATAGTCCTTTTTTGTTTGTTTGTTTTTGGTGGCTGGCCGGTACAGGGATCGAACCCCGGATGTTGGTGTTATCAGTACCACATTCTAACCAGCTGTGCTAACCAGCCAGCCTAGGACTTACATTTTAACTAGAATAGCAAGCACATCCATAATCCTGCCCTCTCAACTCCTAATGCCTAAGAATACTAAATAAAATATTTAAAATGTGAAAACAGTCCTACTCAAAAGGACATCTTCTTTGGTCAAGAATGGCGAGAACAGCTACAGCCATGAGCAGAGGCTGAGGCTGTGCAGCTTAGGAGAAGTAGAGACCTGTTCAGTAGGTCCTGGGACTTCAAAGTCCATATGGGACAGGTAACCAAGAATAACCTAGGAATGTTGGGGGGACCAGAATCAGTCTCTCGGAGTGAGAAGCACAGTCAGGACAAACAGGCTGCAAACAAAAACAAGATGAAATACAGGCAACCTAAAACAATACTTGAAAAAATACGAGGGTACTTCACAAAGTTCGTGGAAAAAAGAATTAGAAGATAATACAGACCTTTCCATGAACTTTTTGAAGTACCCTCATATATGTGTGTAATTATCAAAGGGCTAAAGGAAGATTCTCATCCCTGCAATGAGAACATGACCAAGAAGAGGCAGATAAGATTTCTTAAGTTAGACATCCTGGAAATACAAAAATACAATTACTGAAATATTCTCTATGTATGTGATAAACACTAGATATAAAACCTGAGTGGGTTTGGAAAACAGAAATGAGGAATCATCCAGAACACTACAGAGATAAAAGGAAAATAAAAAAGTGAAGCTAAGAAATGTAGGATAGACTGAGAAGCTTTGACATAATATTTAATAGTAGTTTTAGAAGGAGAGACTAGTGAGAATAAGGAAGGGGAAACAAAGACAATGGGTGGATTTTTCGGAATTGAAGAAAGACAGGTGGTTCCTCAAAAAATTTAAATAGAATTGCCATATGATCCAGCAATTCCACCTCTGGGTATATGCCTAAAAGAATTGAGAGCAGGGACTCAAAGAGATAAGTGTACACCCATGTTCACAGTAGCATTATTCACAATAGCCAAAAGGTGGAAGCAACAGAAGGGTCCACTCATGGATGAATGGATAAACAGAATGTGGGATATACATTCAGTGGAATATTATTCAGCCTTAAAAAGGACAAAAACTCCAACACATGGTACAACATGGATGAACCTTGAGGACATTAAGCTAAATGAAATAAACCAATCATAGGGCCGGCCCGTGGCTCACTTGGGAGAGTGCGGTGGTGATAACACCAAGGCCACGGGTTCAGATCCTATATAGGGATGGCCGGTTAGCTCACTGGCTGAGCGTGGTGTTGACAACAGCAAGTCAAGGGTTAAGATCCCCTTACCGGTCATCTTTTTATTTTTATTTATTTATTTATTATTTGTCCTTTTTGAGATCGGCCGCACCGCGCTCAGCCAGTGAGCACACTGGCTATCCTTATATAGGATCTGAACCCGCGGCCGGAGCGCTGCTGTGCTACCAGCACCGAACTCTCCCGAGTGCGCCACGGGCTCGGCCCACCGGTCATCTTTTTAAAAAAATAAATAAATAAAAGAAAGAAAGAAAGAAAAGAAAAAGAAATAAACCAATCTCGAAAGGACAAATACTGTATGATTTCCACTCATATGAGGTACCTTGTATAGTCAGAATCATAGTAAGTAAAATAGTGATTACCAAGGGCTTGGGGGAGAGGAGAAAGGGGAGTTATTGTTTAATGTATACAGTTTGAGTTTTGCAAGAGGAAAAAGGTTCTGGTAATGGATAGTGGCAGTGGTTGTACAACGTGAATATACCCAATGCCACTTAACTATGCTTAAAAGTGGTTAAAATGCTAAAATTTTTTTTTTTCCTTTTTGTCTTTTTTCGTGACCGGTAATGGGATCGCAAGCCTCAGTGTCGCGCCTGCACCACGCTCAACCAGTGAGCGGACCGGTCTCTATATGGGATCCGAACCCTCGGCGGGAGCGCCACTGCACTCCCAAGCACCGCACTCTACCGAGTGCGCCACCAGGCCAGCCCAAAATGCTAAATTTTGTTATGTATATTTTACCACAGCTTGAATTTTTTTTCTAAAAAAACAAATTCTATATATTTACAAAAATCTAAATATTTACATAAGTATAAAAATTGACTAGAAATAGACTCCTCGCATTAATGATAATGTTAATACTGTGGAAGGGGGCATTGAAAAATGGCCATGAGGATCAAAGGATTTTATCTTTAACGTTTATGTATTTTATAAAAAGATTTTTTTTTTTTTTTAAAGATGACCGGTAATGGGATCTTAACCCTTGACTTGGTGTTGTCAGCACCATGCTCTCCCAAGTGAGCTAACCGGCCATCCCTATATAGGATCCGACCCCACGGCCTTGGTATTAGCACCACACTCTCCCAAGTGAGCCACGGGCCGGCCCAGTAATCTCTATACCTTTATGTAAGTATAGAGATGTAATTTTTAGGGCTGGCCGGTTAGCTCACTTGGTTAGAGTGTGGTGCTAGTTAACACCAAGGTCAAGGATTTGGATCTCCATACTGGCCACTGCAAAAAAAAAAAAAAAAAAAAAAAAAAAAAAGAAATGTAATTTTTAAAAATTATCAGAAAAAATAATAAATGCAATTACAGTATTTTTTTAAAAAAGACAGTGAGGGAATGAGGGAGATCAGGAAGGAGGGAAAAAGAAAACCTGGAAATCTGGCAGATACTTTTCTCTCATTTCTAAAATAACAATTGTTAACAACAGTCAAGTGCTGGCTGGTTAGCTCAGTTGGTTAGAGCACCATGCTGATAACACCAAGGTCAAGGGTTCAGATCCTTGTGCTGGCCAGCTGCCAAAATGGACAAAAGGAAAGCACCTACTATATTGGTTCTCATGGGAAAAGTTATCTAGAGAGACCTCAGACTCATCATCCAGATCCACTAGCCACATCACACCTGATCTTTACTATGTCAATGATTGGAGTCGACCTCAATTGTTGTCACTCTTCTCCAGTTAAAAAGACTCAGTAGTGGGGCAAACAGAGAGAGGGAGTCAAGAGACCCGAATTCTGGTTCTCCTTCTTTCACTGTTGATCTACTCAACCCGTAATATGTCTTTTCACCTCTCCGAGCTTCACATTTCTTCTCTGGAAAATGAGAATAATCCCTACTCTGCCTGTCTCATCAGATTGTTATAAACAGCAGATGAGGGAACATGTGAAAAGGTTTTGTGAAACATCAAGCACCCGTGACAATCTATCTTCGCAGTATTAAGGTACAGAGGGGTTCAATGTTTGTTAAACGTCATAAAACTTTAAATTTTAATTTTAAAACTTAAAGCCGCTTAAAAACTGCAGATTTTAAAACTTTGGTAAATATATATTTTTAAGTGTAAGGAAGAAGGTAAAAAATCCTGTAATCCCACTGCTGTAAAACTACTTAAAAATTTTTTTAAACCAAAATTCTCCAAAATGTACCCTGCCCTAGTCTGCCTTAAGAGGACCGCTCTAAGCCTTGTTCGTCCGTCGATCTGGGACCACCCTGAACCTCGTTTTCCTCTGAAGTCAGCCTTTTTGTTGTCCTCCGCCTTTTGCGCAGAGCCCTGCACTGGGGACTTCATTTGGGGAAATAACCGTCGCGTCCAACACGAAATAGCCGTCCACCTAACACTTTCCTCGTCCCCCAAATGATCGCTTCTGAAGTCTGCTTAAGAAGCCTCAGCTTCTCAGGAGCGACCAAAAAGCCATCACCAGATGACCCCTCCGGGAGGACGCGGAACCAAATTCCATCGCCTTCCCCAGACTCCGCCCACCGCCCGCCTCCACGGGCGGGGCCGCCTAGGCCACTTCCGGGAGGGAGAGCCAGGAAGTTCCTGTCGCTTAGCAACCGAAGGACCCCCCCCCCCCCCAAAATGATGAGGCCGAGGAGGGACTAGGAATCACCCAGTTTCCGCTGCGGTTTGGGTATGGGGGGGACCGCAGTCCCCTACTGGGGTCTCTCCCGTGCCCAGCAAGGGTTGCCAGCCAGCGGGTGGCATTCCTTTCCAATACATGTTATCCCTAACAACCTTACCGGGAAAGCCACCCGTTTCTTGAGTATCTATGTGCCAGGCTCCATTAGGCACATCACATAATCTAACCTGGATAAACGCAACTCATCTCACTGATAAGGAAGCCAGGCTCAGAGGGGCTGAGGCCCTCAAACTGAGAGACCTTATTCAGGGAGCACCCTGCCCTGCCGAATGGCAGGTATCCGGATTACCTACTGGTCCCCCATTCGGAAGGCTGGAGAGGGAGGGGCAGCAACTTAAATCTTTAACCAAAATGCATTATTTTCCATAATGACTTATAAAATAGTGATTATACAAGCACAAGTCCCTGAGGGGCCAGAGATCCCACCATACAAAATAGCAAACAGACTCAAAACTTCTGAAGGGCAGTGAGTGTATTAGGAATGAATGGGGTACATCTGATTCCCACATTCAGGGTGGGAGACCTTCAGAGTGAGAAAACACAAGTGTTTTTGGCCTCCGACATCTGGGCAAAGTGAAGGAGGGAGGCACTGAAAAGCTGGAGTATGATTACTGTCTGGCCTGGGCAGGCTGGAGTCTGTGCCCCAGGATGGCTCCAAGTGCCGCTCAGAGTGTCAGCCCCCGCTCCTTGAAGAGCTGCTTTAGAGCCTCTTCCAGTTGCCGGTTTGTTCCCTGAAGCCCCTTCACCACCTGCGCTGCCCACTCAAAGTATTCCTGGACTCGATATTCGGACCATCCTGCATAAGAGTGGACAGAAACCTGCTCATGTGATGTCAAGGACAGCGTTGCCTTTTGCCATTTCCTGGAGGGCTTGGTGCAGGGCCATGAGATGAGTTCCTAATGGAATGATGAAAACTTCCCCTTGGTCCAGCTATTGTATTTTTACCTTATGAAAGAAGATCAGAGTGGTCTAGCAGGATTAGTTTGGGGAACTAACAAGAACGCCCAGGCTTTTGTCAGGGGAACCGACCAACCTGTGTTTTCAGAAGGTGGATATCCCTCTCCTGTCCCTCAGAGCCAGTGGGGGAGCGTACCCTCTGGGGTGCAGCGATTCAGGTCTCTCAGGTTGTACAGCTTGTCCGCCAGCTTCACCAGTTTGGCCCCGGGACTACTGTGGGGCGCGTGCTCCACCTGTAACCGCTTTCTCTCCAGCTTGGGCAGAGTCTTGTCATCTGTCACCTCCTCCACCAGGCACCGCACCTGTGCCCCAAAGTGTAGCTCCACCTCATCCAAGGTGGTGTCTGTGTCCTCCACCGTGTCATGGAGTAGGGCCGCCTGGGGACAGGCTCCTACTCAGCTTTGTGATGTCAGCCAAGGGGTGCCCGTTGCTGAATGGGGTCCTGATCCGCCCCCCACCCCCAGCTTCCTGGCAGAGAAGGAGGAAGTTACCTGTAGAACCACAATGTCAGTGATTCCCGCCTCATGGGTCAGGATCCGCGCCACACCTGACGGGGGCAGACAAGGAAGTCAGACCGGAGGGAGCCCCAAGGCGGCATGTTGTGGGTTTTGGAGAGCCAGATGTGGCCCGTCAGTAGCTGGATGACCTTGGACAAGTCCCTTAGCTTCTTCGGGTGTCAACCGTACAAAGGGAATAATCATGCCTCCCGCCCCGGGTTGTTGTGAGGTTTAAACTGGCACAAAGCTTGGTACAAAGTAGGTGCTGAATGAGACGCGCGCCCTCCGCGTTCCCTTCCCAGTCCCCACCCCGGCCGGCGTGCCCACCGATGGGGTGGTTGATGTAGGGGGTTCCTTCGGGGTCCTTCCGCCGCTGCTGTCTATGCTTGCGAGCCGCGAAGTCAGCAGCCTCCAGCAGCTGCGCCGCCTCGGAGCCCATCGCTCGGGTGGGGGTGACTGCTGCCAGGGGAGCCCGGACGGAGAGTCTACAGCGTCCCCTGGTGTCGTGGAGGTCCGGAGATTGTAGAGTCTGATTCCACCCAGCTACAACTGGGCCTGGCCCGGACGGATTCCTCTGGGGTCCACATTCTGGGCACAGAGAGCAACTGGTGTGGGAAGCTGCCTTCAGCATCGCAGCCCCTGGTTCAGTGTGCTCTGCTGGGGGTACAAGAAGAACCATAGTCTGGCTCTCTGGGAGTCCGCAGAGAAAGGGAGAAGATAGACAAGAAATAAGGCAGTGGCCTTATAGTGTGCCGAGTCCAGGGCTGGAAGGCATAGGGGAACTATGGGACCATGGAGAAAGGGCAATTTACCTAGCCTCAGAGTCACAGACAGCTTCTCCCAGGAGGGGCTCTTCCTCACCCTCGGAGGAAGACAATCTTCAACCTGTCAATGCTCTGAAAATTCTCAAAGCACTCTAAAAAGTTCTTCCAGGGTTCAGATCCCCTTGCCTGCCAGCCACAAAAAAAAAAAAAATTGTTCTCCCTACAGACATGGGCTGGGTTGCTATGGGAACGGGAGCCTCACCTTTGGGCCCAGGAGATCCTAGGGGCTGACCTTCTGGAAAATTGGAACCTACACTGGGAGCGCTGCCTACTTGATTTAGCTTTAGGCTCCCAGGCAGCAGTGATGTTTCTGCAGGAACTGTCTTTGTTCTCAGTGCTGGGATGAAACATGCATTGCTTTCTTGTGCCATAAGGGCTCCTGCTTCTGTCCCCAGGCACCTGCCGTGGGCTCCTGGGGTGATGAGTGTTGCCACTGCTGTTCTGGGAGCATGATGTTGTCAAGCCTGGGTAGGCACCAGAATAACACTTAACTCTGCTGGCTGATGGTGTTGGGCCTTCTGGAGAAACTCCCTGTCTTACGGATGGCAGCTATGAGGGATGAAGGGTAAGAGAGACCTGGAGATTCCCAAAGAGCTACCTGTGAGATGGGGTTGACTAGCTGAGGCTCAGGGAGAAAGTTAACGAAAGGACTCACCCTTGGTTTTCAGCTAGTCTTGGTGGTTGTCACATTGCAGAAGTTAGGAAGGGAAGCTCTGCATGCCGGAACTGAAGTCTCTGGGCTATGAAACGGAATGGTCAGAATTCCCAGGGCTTCTAAAGCAGCCTGCAATTTGGAGAGTGAGTAGAGAGAAACATATTTGGTTCTAAATGCCTGTCTGTTCTTCAGACAAATGGCTCAACTTCTCTCCCATTCTGTCCTCTAGTACTCTGAGCCTCTTCCCCTTCAGCTCAAAAAACCTTAGGCAGGGCCTATATTTTCCAACAGGAGGTAGAAACAGTCACTTTCATCTCTTTCTAGAAGCCTGTGTTAGAGGGCCGACCCTGTGGCGGCGCTGGGAGCGCAGCGGCACCCCCGCCGCGGGTTTGGATCCTGTATAGGGATGGCCGGTGCGCTCACTGGCTGAGCGCGGTGCGGGCAACACCAAGCCAAAGGTTGCGATCCCCTTACCGGTCACAAAAAAGGACAAAAAAAAAAAAAAAAAAAAAGAAGCCTGTGTTAGAGAAGCTTCAAGTTTGTGTTAATTGGTGCCTGAGGGCCATGGGGCTTTGATTTTATTTCTTTACTGTCTGCAGCCATGGCTTAGAAAGAGAGACGCTGGGGTTCCTAGGACCAGGGCTGAGGTGGAAGTGACCTCTCATGGGCTTCCAGAGAAGGAGGCGGGGCCCCTTGCTGACAGGCCTGTCCGTGGGGCTACTGCTACTCTTCAGCTGGGTGGCCCTTGCCCAGCCGACCTCTCTCTCAGGTACAACACCTCCCTTGCACCCACCCCTGCAGGTGGCTATTTCGGGGAGCTTGTGGAGGGAAGGAAGGGAGCCTGCCCTTCTGGTAGGGGCTGATCTCTTTTACTCTCCGGACGGAATGGATGGTGGGCACCCCCGTCCTGTTTGCCTCCAGCCCCCTTGCCTCTCTCTTCAGCATTGGCCCACCACCCCCACTTGTGCCGGTCCACCCAGGATGCCGATGGCCGTCACTACCTTGGTTTCTTCTGTCCTCGGCTCTCTGATACTCCGGAAGAAGCCTACTGCTGCCACCTGCAAGCTGCAGGGGGCTTCTGCTGCACCCGGGCCGAATTTGAGGCCTTATACCAAGTCAACCTGTCCGCGCTCCCGCCCCCGCCCATCTTCAGGTGAGAACTCCAGCCCCAAAGCCACTGGAACACTGTCAGGGTGTTCCAGTATCTGGGGCTCTGTTCCTAAATTTTGGGCGGGAGGTTTGTGGTTTACAGACTAGCGGAGGGACAGACAGCAAAGAAAAAATCACGTAAATCATGATTACAAACAATTCTGTGAAGGGAAAGTCAGGGGGCTAAAGGAAAAGTTCAGGGGTAACAGGGAGCCATTGTATATGTTGTGGGGTGGAGGGGGTGGGGGCGGTGTCAAGACAAAATCTTGTAGTCCGTGGATTACACACATTATGATGGAGGTTTTAATCCTGAATTGTCCATGGACGGCTTCGGGGTACCTGTGAACCCATAATTTGTATGCAAATGTGTGTGTAAGCATGTCTGCATTTATACGAAGAGGGGGTCCCAAGCTTTCTTAGGATCCGCAGGGGATTTGTAATCCACAGACTGTAGCAGCGAGAGCGCGGCTGGGGCCAGCATCTTGATACTCTCCTCTCTCCCACAGGGGCCCGGGCCCGCTCCTAGCGGTGGGCCTCTACAGCTTGCTGCTCGTAGCCCTGATAACCGCAGACCTCGTGCACTTCTGCTGCGGTCGTGGCAGGGGTCGGGGCCGGAGCGGGAGCAGCTGCAGGCGTCCCTCTCGGTCCTCCGCCGCGCGCCCCCTGCAGGTCTCGGCGGGAACAGACTAGGCGCGCCCGGGGATCCTCCGCGCTGTGGCCCGGAGCTAAGAGCCCCGCCCCTGCCGGGGCGCGGTCTCTCCTTGGCTCCGCCCCTTCTCTGTCGCAGTCTTGACGCAAGACTGGGGCGGTGCTAGCCCTGGGCCCAGCCGCTTCCCAAACCTCGCCCCTCCCTGTCCCAGACACGGCGCCTGCGCGGGCACAGGACGTCTGGTTCGTGATGACTGTGAGTGGTCCAGGAACACAGAGCCCCGGCCCGTCGCCCCCGGGGTGCAGGCCCATCCCTGCGCGCCATCACCTTTCGCACCACCTGCTCTGACCACTCCCCGGCTTCCTTCTCCCCTAGTCTTGCCCTCCACGGGACTCGCCCCCGACCTCTACTCTCCTCTCCCCCTTGCTCCCTGGCTCTGCCCTGAGCCCACCCCCGAAGTTTCCACCCCCTTTCTCTGCACAGGCCAGCCCAGTGGAGCAGCTGCGGAAGGAGGGCAACGAGTTGTTCAAATGCGGAGACTACGAGGGCGCCCTGACGGCCTACACCCAGGCCTTGGGTCTGGGCGCGACGCCCCAGGACCAGGCCATTCTGCACCGGAATCGGGCCGCCTGCCACCTCAAGCTGGTGAGGGAGCTGGACTGCCCTTCCCCTTGCCTGCTCGGACCCCGGTTTGCCCATCTCGGCTGCTGCTCGGGTCTGTGCTGGGCATTCACTTTCCCGGGCCATCCAGCTTTCCAGATGTCTTTTGGGCCTCAGGATAGTGGGGGATTGAGTGTTTTTGGAGAACAAGAGTATCCCTGTTGCCCGGTTAGTGTCCCGAAAGGGAGATGACCATTCTCTCAAGCTCTGTTCTTTTTCTTATAGGAAAATTACGACAAAGCAGAAACAGAAGCATCCAAAGGTAGTGGAATGTGGGCCCTCCTGTGGAGCTGTGGGGCTTCTTTTGGGGCAAGAACTCTGAGGCTACCGCACCATCCCATTATTTTTCTCCCTTGACTCCTGAAACACATCTGCCTTCTTTCTTTCCCACTTCCTCGGGCATTTCCTTTTCTGCAGCTACCCTCACCTTTTCTGAGGCTGAAGTACGAAGCCCCACACCTGTCCCCACCTTCTTCTGGCCCTCGAGATCTTTCCCTACTGCTCTTGCCTGGAGATGGTGGCCTTATGTGTGCTGACAGAGCTCCTGTTTGTGCTCAGCCATTGAAAAGGATGGTGGGGATGTCAAAGCACTTTACCGGCGGAGCCAAGCCCTAGAGAAGCTGGGCCACCTCGACCAAGCTGTCCTTGACCTGCAGAGATGTGTGAGCCTGGAGCCCAAGAACAAAGTTTTCCAGGAGGCCCTGCGGAACATTGGGAGTCAGATTCAGGAGAAGGTACGTGAGTGACCGAGAGAGATTGAGGCATTGGCTGGTGGTAAAGGAATCTGAGTCAAGAGTGTAGACACAATTCTCCCAGGAGGAGACACTGATGGCACATGAGCACATAGAATGATACTCAACCTTGCCAATGGTTAGGGAAAAGCAAATTAAAATAGCAGCATGGTACTTTTTTTTCCCCCTTGGTCATCTGTTTGGCAAACATTTAAAAATTTGTACACTTTGGGAGGAGAGAGTAAGAAACTTAAGTGTGAGGTTGGGGCACATGGACTCTCATGACTGCTGGAGGGGATATAAATTGGTACAGCTCCTTTGGAGAGTACTTTAGCATATCTATAAAATTTTAAATGAGTATATCCTTTGACGCAACATGTTTACTTCTTGCTGTTTCCCCTAAAGAAACCTCGCCCATGTGCACAAGTAAGCATGTGTATGTTTATTTCAGCCTTGTTTATAGTAAGGAAAACCTGGAACTCTCCTAAATACCCAGCGATAGGGGAATGGCTAAATAAACTGCGATCCTTACTACAGACTCCTATGTTGTAGTTGCTGAGAATAGTTCGATACACATGCGCTGCCATGGAAAGCTCTCTGATTCTTGTTGAATGAAAAAAGCAAAATATACAATAACACATGTAGAGTAATACCATTTATGTTAAAACAATCCCCCACATACACACCAAAAACAATACTGTGTTTTTTGTGTGGGTACACTTGCGTACATAAATACAAAGAAAAATATTTTAAAAGATATACATGATATACATGATAATTATAACATTGTG